GTTGGGTGGGTTTTGGGGGTTCCCAGGCGATTTTGGGGTGAGTTTTGGGGTGTCCCAGCTGTTTTGGGGTGTCCCAGGTGATTTTTGGGGCTGGGTGGTTTTGGGGTCCCTCACGTATTTGGCAAAGAAGGATTTCTGCTCCTGGGGGTTCCGGGCGCGCTGCGCCTGCTCCTGCTCCAGGTGCCGGATGAAGGCGGCGGTCTCGGGGCTGGGGACAATTGGGGACATTGGGGACACTGGGGACAGCCAGGGGACATTGGGGACAGCCAGGGGACACTGGGGACATTGGGGACATTGGGGACACTGGGGACAGCCAGGGGACATTGGGGACAGCCAGGGGACATTGGGGACATTGGGGACACTGGGGACACTGGGGACACTGGGGACATTGGGGACAGCCAGGGGACACTGGGGACATTGGGGACACGGGGGACACTGGGGACAGCCAGGGGACACTGGGGACATTGGGGACAGCCAGGGGACAGAAGAGACATTGGGGACACTGGGGACACTGGGGACAGCCAGGGGACACTGGGGACATTGGGGACAGCCAGGGGACAGAAGAGACATTGGGGACACTGGGGACACTGGGAACATTGAAAACACTGGGGACATTGGGAACATCAGGGACATTGGGGGCACTGGGGACAGCCAGGGCACAGCGGGGACATTAGGGACACAGAGGGGACATTGGGGACAATGGAGGACGCTGGGGGATTGGGGATGTTGGGGACACTGGGGACACTGGGGACATGGGGAGGGGACACAGGGGGCCACGACCACCCCAAAACCTCCCCCCCTGCCCCCACGGATGTTCCCCAAAAGCTGAACCAGCCCCAAAATTCCCCCCAGGGTCCCCACAGTGTCCCCAGCCTGTCCCTCAGTGTCCCACCGTGTCCCCAGGTGTCCCCCATTGTCCCCACCGTGTCCCCATGTCCCCGTGTCACTCAGGTGTTGGGGATCCCCGGTCAGTGTCCCCCCATGTCCCTGTGTCCCCATGTCCCTCTCATGTCCCCGTGTCCCCCCATGTCCCCAAGGGCACATGGGGACATGGCAACATGGGGACATGAGGGGACATGGGCACAAGGACACAGGATGGGACATGGGGACACGTGAGGGGACAGGGGGACACGGTGATGGTGGCACAGGGAGACATGAGGGGACAGGGGGATGGGAGGGGACAGGGACATGGGGACATGGGTGACAGTGCTACAGGGGACATGTGAGGGGACAGGAGGACATGGGCCATGGTGGCACAGGGGGACATCAGGGACATCAGGGGACAGGGGTACAGGGTGAGGACACTGAGGGGACAGTGGGGGAGGAGCAGGGTGACAGGGCACGGGGGGACAGGGGGGGACACGGGGGACACGGGCAGGGTGACAGGGGTGTGGGGGGACACGGGGAGGACAAGGGGCAGGAGGACCCCCGGGTGTCCCAGAGGTGTCCCCAGGATGTCCCAGGTGTGTCCCAGGGGTGACACAGGGATGTCCCAGGTGTGCCACAGGTGTCCCAGGGGTGTCCCCAGCTCAGGTGGCCCAGGGTGTCCCCAGGTGTCCCAGGTGTCCCTGTCACTCACCGCCCTCACGAAGGAGGTGACAAACTCGGTGTCCCCCTCCTCACCCGGGCCCAGGGGCCTGCGGGGGACCCGCACCCGGTACAGCCCGTCCCGCGCTGCCACCTCCTGTGGGGACACCCTGCTGTCACCTCAGTGTCACCCAGTGTCATCCAGTGTCACCTCAGTGTCACCCAGTGTCACTGCTGTGTCCCCCAGTGTGCCGCAGTGTCCCCCTGACCCCTTCCCTCCCCCTGACCCACACCCGGTACAGCCCGTCCCGCGCTGCCACCTCCTGTGGGGACAGTGCCACCTCAGTGTCACTGCTGTGTCACCCAGTGTCACCCAGTGTCACCCTGAACCCTTCCCTCCCCCTGACCCGCACCCAGTACAGCCTGTCCCGCGCTGCCACCTCCTGTGGGGACACTTCAGTGTCACCCAGTGTCACCCTGAACCCTGCATCCCCCCGACCCGCACCTAGTACAGCCTGTCCCGCGCTGCCACCTCCTGTGGGGACACCTCAGTGTCACCCATTGTCACCTCAGTGTCACCCGGTGTCCCCCCAATGTCCCTCTGATGTCACCCCAATGTCACTCCAATGTCACCCCAGAGTCACCTCCATGTCCCTTCGGTGCAGGGACAGAGGGGACAGGGACAGGGACAGAGGGGACAGGGACAGAGGGGACAGGGACAAGGGACAGGGACAGAAGGGACAGGGGAGAGGGGAGAGGGACAAAGGACAGGAGAAGGACAGGGGACAAGAAGAGGGATGGGGAGAGGGACAAGGACAAGGGAAAGGGCACAGGGACAAGGGGACACGGGGATATGGGGACATTGGGACATGGCGCTGGCACCTGGGACAGCCCGGTCCCCTGTCCCCAGTGCCACCCCTGCCCCATGTCCCCAGTGCCATCCCTGTCCCCATGTCCCCAGTGCCATCCTTGTGTCCCCAGTGCCACCCTCAGCCCAGTGCCCCCAGTGCCACCTCCGTGTCCCCACCCTGTCACCCAGCTCAGTGTCCCCATGTCGCCCACGCCCCATGTCCCCGGTGTCCCCAATCCTCCCAGTGCCCCCAGCGTCCCCAATCCTCAATGTCCCCAGTCCCCCCAGGGGTCCCCAATGTCCCCAGTGTCCCCAATGTCCCCAATGCCCCCAATGTCCCACAGTGTCCCCAATCCCCCCAGTGTCCCCAATGTCCCCAATCCTCCCAGTGTCCCCAATGTCCCCAATGTCCCCCATGTCCCCAATGCCCCCAGTGTCCCCAGTGTCCCCAATGCCCCCAATGTCCCCAATGTCCCCAGTGTCCCCAATCCTCCCAGTGTCCCCAATGTCCCCGCTGTCCCCAGTGTCCCCGATGCCCCCAGTGTCCCCAGTGTCCCCAGTGTCCCCTGTCCCTCACCCAGCTCGAAGGAGTGCTCCAGGCTCAGGCTCACCCGGCAGCTCTCGGTGTCACCGGCCTGGGGGGACACGGAGGGGACACGGGGGTGGCACCACGGGACGCCCCCGGGACGGGCTCCCCGCAGGCCTCATGAATATTAATGACCAGCCCGCGCCCTCATTAACGCTAATGAGGCTCCGCAGCCTCCACCCCCTCATGAATATTAATGATCAGGCGGCAGCCAGAAGCGCCCCTCATTAGCATTCATGAGGAGGAACCGGCAGGCTCATTAATTTGAACCTGAACCGCGTTACTTAATATTAATGAGGGCAGCACGCGGCCCCGCCCCTCGGGGTTACACGCCCCTAATGAATATTAATGAGGGGAAACACGCCCCCGAGAGAATGGGGCTCTATTGGCGGTCACGCCCCCTAATTAATATTAATGATCCCCATCCCGCCTGTCCCCGCCCCCTCCCCAAGCCCCGCCCCCTGGCGTGTCCCGGGAGCGGAACGGGGCGGAGAGCACCGGGAATGAGCAAATCGCCGGATTTTATTGAAAAACAGCGCCCGGGGGAGCGGGGCCGCGCGGGGCGGGCACCGGGCGGGGCCAGGCCCGGGACACCGGGAGGGATGGTCCGGGAGGGAATTCCTGTCCCGGGACACCGGGAATAATCGTCCAGGAGCGAATTCTCATCTTGGGATGGAGGGATGGATGGTCCGGGAGGGAATTCCTGTCCCGGGACACCGGGAGGGATGGTCTGGGAGGGAATTCCTGTCCCGGGACACCGGGAATAATCGTCCAGGAGCGAATTCTCGTCTTGGGATACCGGGAATTCCTGTCCCGGGACAGCGGGAATGCTCATCCAGGACACCGGGAATTCCCGTCCCGGCACACCGGGAGTGCCAATCCCGGCACACCGGGCATTCCCGTCCCGGTTCCCTGGGCATTCCCGGGCATTCTCGTCCCGGCACACCGGGAATGCTCATCCCAGGACACCGGGGCATCCCGGTGCCGGTGCCGCGGGCATTCCCGTCCATCGCGGTGCCGGTGCCGCGGGCATTCCCGTTCATCCCGGTGCCGGTGCCGCTCCATCCCGGTGCCGGTGCCGCTCCGTCCCGGTGCCGGTGCCCGGCGCTCAGCCCGCGCTGTCCCGCAGGAAGCGGAGCAGCTCCCGCAGCACGGAGAAGAACCGCAGCAGCACCGAGCTCGGCCCCGCGGGCTCCTGGCCGGTGCCGCCGGTGCCGCCGGCGCTGTCGGGGCTCGCGGCGGTCCCGGGGGCCGCGGGGGTCTCGGGGGTCCCGGGGGTCCCGAGCTGCTGCAGGATCCAGCGGCTGAAGAGCCAGGCCGGGGTGAAGACGCAGCCGCGGCCGCCGCTGGAGACCCCGACGAGCCAGAAGGGCCCCGAGCCCCGGGAACGGCAAACGAGCGGCCCGCCGGGGTCACTCTGGGGAGAGGGACGGGGGAGAGGGGAGAGGGAGAGGAGGGGAGAGGGGAAGAGGGTCGGGACCCGGGCGGGGACCGGGAGCGGGAAAAGGAACGGCAGCGGACAGGGACTGCTCACCTGGCAGGTGCCGGAGCCGCCCCGCGAGTGCTCCGCGCACACCTGGGGGGAGGGCGCGGCCCCGGAGCCGTCACAGAGCTCGGGCGGGAGCAGCCGCACCTGAGCCTCCCGCAGCACCTCCCGGGGCGGGGCTGGGGGCGGGGCCGGGGCGGGGCCGTGAGAGCGAGCACCTGGGCACACCTGGGCACACCTGGGGCACCTGGGCACACCTGGGCACACCTGGGCACACCTGGGGCACCTGGGCACACCTGGGGCACACCTGGGCACACCTGGGGCACCTGGGCACACCTGGGCACACCTGGGGCACACCTGGGGCACCTGGGCACATGTGGGCCACACCTGGGGCACCTGGGGCACACCTGGGCCACACCTGGGCACACCTGAGGGACCCCAGCCTGGCCTAGGACACACCTGGGCACACCTGGGGTACACCTGGGACACACCTGGGGCACCTGGGACACACCTGGGCCTTCTATGGGACCCCAGCCCATATCCCAGGGACCCCAGCCCACCCTCGGGACACACCTGGGACACACCTGAGACCAGGGTGAGACCGTAACCTGACACAGAGGCACAGCTGGGACTCACCTCTGACCTGGCGGGATCCCAGCCCCAGCTCAGCCCCACCTAGGGCTCACCTGTGCCCACGATGGGCACACCCGGCTCTCACCTGTACCCAGCTCAGCCCCACCTGGCATACACCTGTGCCCACCTGTGCCCCCCACTCCTCCTGGCTCTCACCTGTGCCCATCCCAGCCCCACCCGTTGCTCACCTGTGCCCACAATAGACACCCCTGGGGTTCACCTGTGCTCCCCCATCCCACCCGGCACTCACCTGTACCCAGCTCAGACACACCTGGCACTCACCTGTGCCCACGATGGACACAGCTGGGGCTCACCTGTACCCAGCTCAGACACACCTGGCTCTCACCTGTGCCCATCTCATTTCCCCCAGCTCTCACCTGTGCCCAGCTCAGCCCCACCTGGCTCTCACCTGTGTCCCCCATGACCACACCCGGCTCTCACCTGTGCCCACCATGGGCACACCTGGCTCTCACCTGTGCCCCCCGGCCCTCACCTGTGCCCACCATGAACACATCCGCTCTCACCTGTGCCCAGCTCAGGCACACCCCGCTCTCACCTGTGCCCTCCATGACCACACCCGCTCTCACCTGCCCCCCCCGGCCCTCACCTGTGCCCCCCGGCCCTCACCTGTGCCCCCCATGCCCCCCCGGGCCTCACCTGTGTCCTGCAGGCGGGCCCAGCCCGCGATGTAGCAGCGCTGCGGCCCCCCCGGCTCTCACCTGTGCCCTCCATGGGCACACCCGGCTCTCACCTGCGCCCCCCGGCTCTCACCTGTGCCCTCCATGGGCACACCCGGCTCTCACCTGTGCCCTCCATGGGCACACCCGGCTCTCACCTGTGCCCCCCCGGCCCTCACCTGCGCCCCCCATGCCCCCCGGGCCTCACCTGTGTCCTGCAGGCGGGCCCAGCCCGCGATGTAGCAGCGCTGCGGCCCCCGCGGCGGCGCGGCCTCGCTGACGCAGCCCAGCTGCACGAAGTCGCTGCACTCTGCGGGCGGCTGCAGCTGCAGCAGCGCCACGTCCAGCCCCGGGTGCCGCCGCGCCCGCAGCACCCGCCGCACCTGCGCCTCGGGCCCGGGGTCGCTCAGGTCGGCGGCGCCCAGCACCACCCGCCACGAGCTGACGTTCCTGCGGGCAGCGGCGCCGTGAGGGGAGCGAGGGCATCCCGGGACATCCCGGAGCTTCCCGGGGGCATCCCGGAGCTTCCCGGGGGCATCCCGGGACATCCCGGAGCTTCCCGAGGGCATCCCGGGACATCCCGGAGCTTCCCGGGGGCATCCCGGATAACCCCACATCTTCCCGAGGCCATCCCGGGGGCATCCCGGGACATCCCGCATCTTCCCGAGGTCATCCCGGGGGCATCCCGGGACATCCCGCATATTCCCGGGGCTGTCCCAGGGGCATCCCGGGGGCATCCCGGAGCTTCCCGGGGGCATCCCGGGACATCCCGCATCTTCCCGGGGGCATCCCGGGGGCATCCCGGGACATCCCGCATATTCCCGGGGCTGTCCCAGGGGCATCCCGGGGGCATCCCGGAGCTTCCCGGGGGCATCCCGGATAACCCCACATCTTCCCGAGGCCATCCCGGGGGCATCCCGGGACATCCCGCATCTTCCCGGGGCTGTCCCAGATAGTCCCGGAGCCCCCCGAGGCCATCCCGGGACATCCCGCATCTTCCCGGGGCTGTCCCAGATAGTCCCAGAGCTTCCCGAGGCCATCCCGGGACATCCCGGAGCTTCCCGAGGCCATCCCAGGACATCCTGCATCTTCCCAAGGCCATCCCGGATAATCCTGGAGCTTCCCGGGGCCATCCCGGATAGTCCCAGAGCTTTCTGGGGCCACCCCAGGTAATCCCCCCAAATTTAGTTTTTCTGGGCCATCGTGATCATCCCGGAGCCCCCCGAGGCCATCCCGGGGTTTCTCGGGGACATCCCGAGGCTGTCCCGGAGCATCCCAGATCATCCCGAAGCTCCTCGGGGCCATCCCAGGGCCATTCCGGATCATCCCGGTGCTTTCTGGGGCCATTCCAGGACCATCCCAGAGCCACCCTGGAGCCCTCTGTGGCCATCCCGAAGTCTCCCGGGCCCATCCCAGGCCATCCCGGGGATATCCTGCATCCACCCCGCATCCACCCCGGCCCATCCCAGGGTTATCATGGGCCCATCCCAGCCCATCCCGGGTGTATCCCGGCTCCATCCCAGGCCCATCCCCGCCCATCCCAGGTCCATCCTGGGGATATCACGGGTCCATCCCAGGCCCATCCCAGCCCATCCCGGATCACCCCAGACCCATCCCAGGGATATCCCAGCCCATCCCGGGTCCATCCCAGGGATATCCCGGGCCCATCCCAGCCCATTCCGGGGATATCCCAGGCCCATCCCGGCTGTATCCTGGCCCACCCCAGCCCACCCTGGCTCCATCCCAGCCCATCCCAGGGATATCCTGGGTCCATCCCAGCCCATCCTGGCCCATCCCGGGTGTCTCCCAGCCCATCCCAGCCCATCCCAGCTCCATCCCAGCCCATCCCGGGGATATCCCGGGCCCACCCCGGCTGGGCAGGCAGCGGGCGGCCGTGAGCAGCCAGCCCGGGGCGATCAGGCTCCCGCCGCACACGTGGCCGCTGCCGGCCCGCAGCGGGTCCTGGACGCTCGCCAGCCCCGGCCAGGCCCCGCGAACGGCCCCGGAGCTGCCGCCGAACTCCTCGGCCATGGGCTGGAGACCGCAGGTACCGCTGGGGGACAGCGACAGCGTGGGGACAGCGACACGGGGACGGGGACACAGGGGACAGGGACAGGGATGGGGACAGGGACAGGAACAGGGACAGAGGGGACAGGGACACAGGGGACAGGGATGGGGACAGAGGGGACAGCGACACCCACTGGTCCTGCCTGAGCGGCTGTGCCAGCCCTGGGCTGCGACAGGGACACGGGACAGTGACAGGGACACGGGGACAGGGACAGGGACACGGGACAGGGACAGGGACAGGGACACGGGACAGGGACACAGGGTCAGGGACGGGGACAGGGCACGGGGACAGTGACAGGGACACGGGACAGGGACACCCCGACCCAGGACAGGGACCCCCGGTGCCACACGTGTCCCCTCGCTGGTGCCAGAGCAGCTGTGCCAGAGCCTGGCACGGGCACGGGGCTGCGACCTCGGGGACCCCCGGGTGACCTCGGGGGACCCTCGGGGGACCCTCGGGTGACCTCGGGGACCCCCGGGGACCCCCGGCTGCGGGCACCTACTCGCAGGAGTCCCAGGTGGCCCGGGCGGGGGCGGCCGCGGCCAGCAGGACCAGGAGCCAGAGCGGAGCCATGCTGGGGACAGCGAGACCGCGGCAGAGCCCCCGGCCCGCCGGTGCCCGCCGCTCCCCGGGGTCCCCGCCCGGGGGTGACGTCACAGGGCGGCCCCGGTTCCGCGGCGGGACCGTCACAGAGCCGTGGAACGGCGGCGAGGGAGCGGGAGCGGCCCGGGAGGCTCCGAGCCGGCCCCGGGCACTGCCAGGAGCTCCAGTCGCGAAACTCCCAGCCCAGAACGGCATTCCCAAAATTCCCATCCCAAAAATTCCCATCCCAAAATTCCCATTCCAAAAATTCCCATCCCAAAACTCCCCTCCCAAAATTCCCATCCCAAAAATTCCCATCCCAAAATTCCCATTCCAAAAGTTCCCATCCCAAAAATTCCCATCCCAGAACTGCATTCCCAAAACTCCCATCCCAAAAATTCCCATCCCAAACTTTCCATCCCAAAATTCCCACCCCAAAAATCCCCGTCCCAAAATTCCCTTCCTAAAATTTCCATCCCAAAACCCCCATCCCAGAACTGCATTCCCAAAATCCCCATCCCAAAATTTCCCATCCCAAAGCTCCCATCCCAAGAATTCCCATCCCAAGATTTCCATCCCAAAGTTCCAATCCCAAAATTTCCATCCCAAAACCCCCATCCCCAAAATCCCCATTTTCACCCCCAAATCATTTTCACCCCCCAAATCCCTGTTTGTAAACAGGGGAAGGTTCTCAGCAGAGAATTTATTTTTATTTTTATTTTTATTTTTTACAAAAATCCATTTTTTCTCTTTGCACATGGGGGAAGGTTCTCAGCAGTGGACTTACTTTTATTTTTATTTTTACTTTTATTTTTATTTTTATTTATTTTTATCCATTTTTTGTTTGCAAACAAGGGACAGTTCTCAGCAGGGAATTTATTTTTATTTGAAAAATAAATGAATCTTTCTCTTTGCAAACAGGGGGGGTTTCAGCAGGGAATTTTTTAAATTTAAATTTAAATTTTAGTTTTCATTTCCCCAAGCTCCATTCCCCTTGCAGACGGTTCAGGGCCCTTTTTTCAGGTTCTCCAGGAAGAGCCGCTCGCTCTCCAGGAAATCGTGGTCCTGGGGAGGGGGCGCAGCCTGAGCCCCCCGGCCCTGCCCGGCCCCTTCCGGAAGGTTCCGAGCCCCCAGCCCAGCCCAGCCCCCCCGGCCGGTTCTGAGCCCGCTCTGAGCCCACCCGACGGTCCCAAACCCATTCCCACAACCCCAAAGCCATTCCCACATAATCCCAGACCCTCTCCCCCATAATCCCAGACCCTCTCCCCCAGCCCAGTCCCCCCAGCCCGGTCCCGTTCCCGCGCTGTCCCCACCATCCTGGCGCGGTGTTTCAGCAGCAGCACGTGGCCGTAGAGCGCGGCCGCGCTGTCCCCGCTGTCCCCCACGAGTGTCCCCAGGGCCGGCAGCAGCCCGGGAGCCACCGGAGCGGCTGCAGGAGGGGACAGCGGAGCGTGGGGTGACCGCCAGGTGTGTGACCCCCAGGTGTGTGTGTGACCCCCAGGTGTGTGTGTGTGACCCCCAGGTGTGTGTGTGTGACCCCCCCAGGTGTGTGTGACCCCCCCCAGGTGTGTGTGACCCCCCCCAGGTGTGTGACCCCCAGGTGTGTGATCCCCCTGGTGTGTGTGTGACCCCTCCCAGGTGTGTGTGTGTGACCCCCGGGTGTGTGTGTGTGACCCCCCCAGGTGTGTGACCCCCCCAGGTGTGTGTGTGTGACCCCCCAGGTGTGTGTGTGTGACCCCCAGGTGTGTGACCCCCCCAGGTGTGTGTGTGACCCCCAGGTGTGCGTCCCTAGCAGTGTCCCCAGCAGTGTCCCTGTCCCCCAGTGTTGTTCCTGTCCCCAGCGCTGTCCCTGTCCCTGTCGGTGTCCCCAGCGCTGTCTCCGTACCCAGCGGTGTCCCCAGCACTGTCCCCGGCAGTGTCCCTGTTCCTGGCAGTGTCCCTGGCAGTGTCCCCAGCATTGTCTCCGTACCCAGCGCTGTCCCCAGCAGTGTCCCCGTCCCTGGCAGTGTCCCCATCCCTGGCAGTGTCCCCAGTGCTATCTCCATACCCAGCGGTGTCCCCAGCGCTGTCCCTGTCCCCAGCACTGTACGCATCCCTGGCAGTGTCCCTGTCCCCAGCAGTGTCCCCAGCGCTGTCCCTGTCCCCAGCACTGTACCCATCCCTGGCAGTGTCCCTGTCCCCGGCACTGTCCCCAGCGCTGTCTCCGTACCCAGTGGTGTCCCCAGCGCTGTCCCCGGCAGTGTCCCCATCCCCGGCAGTGTCCCTGTCCCCAGCGCTGTCCCCAGGCCGGGGCCCAGCTCCTCCTGCAGCTCCCGGAGCTGCTCCCGCTGCCGCTCCAGGCTCCGCCGGCCCTGGAAAAACGGGAACGGGAACGGTGGGAACGGGAACGGTGGGAATGGGAAAGGAGGGAATGGGAAAGGAGGGAACGGGAAAGGTGGGAATGGGAAAGGTGGGAATGGGAAATGGGGGAATGTGGGAATGGGAAAGGTGGGAAGGGGAAATGGGGAAAGGTGGGAATGGGAAATGGGGGAATGTGGGAATGGGAAAGGTGGGAAGGGGAAATGGGGAAAGGTGGGAATGGGAAATGGGGGAATGTGGGAATGGGAAAGGTGGGAAGGGGAAATGGGGAAAGGTGGGAATGGGAAATGGGGGAATGTGGGAATGGGAAAGGTGGGAAGGGGAAATGGGGAAAGGTGGGAATGGGAAATGGGGGAATGTGGGAATGGGAAAGGTGGGAAGGGGAAATGGGGAAAGGTGGGAATGGGAAATGGGGGAATGTGGGAATGGGAAAGGTGGGAAGGGGAAATGGGGAAAGGTGGGAATGGGAAATGGGGGAATGTGGGAATGGGAAAGGTGGGAAGGGGAAATGGGGAAAGGTGGGAATGGGAAATGGGGAAATGGGAAATGTGGGAATTAAATAAAAACAAAAAGAAAAAAAAGAAAAAGCAAAATAAGCCTTGTGGCAACTGTCCGTTGAATTAAGAAGTTATATAACAATACAATGTATAACATTATATATTATTATATATAATATATTCCATAATATATTATATATCCAGTAGTTAGAGATGTAATATACAATTATATTACATATATGTCATATATTATGTATTATACATAATAATATAATAACACAATAAAATATACAAATATATAGCATATAATTATAATATATAATACATAATACTTGTTCTTATATATTATATATAATATATACAATATAATATATCGTATATATTATAGATAATATATAACATACATAAACACACATATATATTATATTACATATAAAATTTAATTACATATATAATAAATATATATAATATATACCTTATTTATAAACATATAATATATATGTAATATATATATAAAATAAAATATATAGTAATATATATAAAATATATAATAATATATATAAATATATATATATATTTGTTATATATATAACAAAGAACTTGTGACTGCTCTGAGCTGTGGCTGACTGCTGCTCTCGTGAACCTCACGATGTTTATGTGAGCATAAATCCAAAATAAATAATTGAAAAAGAAATCGCTTTTAGCCCCAAAATGTCCCATCCCTTCAATTAAAGCAGGGATAAAAGGAAGGTTTCCTGGGAGGGGGATTTCCTGGGAGGGGGATTTATTTGCCTGTGTCAGGCGCTGCTCCTGCTGCCGCAGCCGCTCCCGCTGCTCCTGCAGCTCCTGCAGCCGCCGCTGCTGCTCCTGCTGCGCCCCGCGCGCCTCCCGCAGCGCCCGCTGCCCGTCCTGCTGCTGCCGCGCCGAGCGCTGCGGGCGCAGCGGGAATGGGGACGGGAACGGGAACGGGAATGGGGACGGGAATGGGGACGGGGATGGGGCCGTGGGAACGGGAATGGGAACGGGGAACGGGAACGGGGAATGGGAACGGGGAACGGGAACGGGGAACGGGAACGGGGAATGGGAACGGGAACGGGGAATGGGGACGGGAACGGGGACGGGAACGGGAATGGGGAAACGGGAACGGGGACGGGAACGGGAATGGGGAACGGGGAACGGGGACGGGAACGGGAATGGGGAACGGGGAATGGGGACGGGAACGGGGAATGGGGAACGGGGATGGGAACGGGATCGGGGAACGGGAATGGGGATCGGGGAATGGGAACGGGAACGGGAATGGGAACGGGAATGGGGACGGGAGCGGGGATCGGGGAATGGGAACAGGGAATGGGAACAGGATCGGGAATGGGGAATGGGAACAGGATCGGGGAATGGGAGCAGGAACGGGGAATGGGAACGGGAACGGGATCGGGAACGGGGAATGGCAACGGGATCGGGAACGGGGAATGGGAACAGGGAATGTGAATGGGATCAGGAACAGGAACAGGGAATGGGAACAGGAGTGGGAACAGGAAATGGGGAACAGGAATGGGGAACGGGATCGGGAACGGGAGTGGGAACGGGAATGGGGAATGGGAACGGGCAATGGGAACAGGGAACGGGGAACGGGAATGGGAACAGGAACGGAGAATGGGATCAGGAACGGGAGTGGGAACAGGGAATGGGAATGGGGATGGGGAATGGGAACAGGGAATTGGAACAAGGAATGGGAACAGAGAATAGGGAATGGGAACGGGGAATGGGAACAGAAATGGAATGGGAATGGGAATGGGATGGGGAACAGGGAACGGGGAACGGGAATGGGGAAGAGGACCGGGATGGGGAATGGGACTGGGAACAGTGCTGGGATAGGGGAACGGGACCTGGGAATGGCTCCATCCCAATGGGACCGGGGATGTGAGCCCCAGCTCTGGGGGATGTGAGCCCCAGCTCTGGGGATGTGAGCCCCAGCTTAGGGGGATGTGAGCCCCAGCTCTGGGGGATGTGAGCCCCAGCTCTGGGGGATGTGAGCCCCAGCTCTGGGGATGTGGAGCCCCAGCTCGGGGGATGTGGAGCCCCAGCTCTGGGGGATGTGAGCCCCAGCTCTGGGGATGTGAGCCCCAGCTCTGCTCCTGGCTGGAACTCCAGCCCGGATGCTCCGTTTACCTCAGCCAGGTCCCGGATCTCCTCCTCCCGCTCCTGCAGGCGCTGCTCGGCCCGCAGAACCTTCTCCTTCTGCAGCCTCAGCTCCCGCCAGGCCTCGTCCAGCTCCTCCCTGTCCCTGGCCAGCTGCTCCTCCTTGGATCTCAGCTCCCGGCTCCGGAACTTCAGCTCTGCCTGATCCTGGGGGGAACACAGGGTCACCTGCCCCGTCCTTCGGAGCAGGGGGGGTGGTTGGGGACCCCGGGTCCCCATCGGGGACCTTGGCCAGGCTCCTCAGCGCCGAGTCCATGCCCAGGGTGCGCTCCTTGTCCTGCTCCTCCCGCTCCCGGCTCAGCCGCTCCCGCGAGTGGAACTCGGCCCAGGCGGCCGCCAGCCGCCGCCGCTCCTCGGAGCGCTCCCGCAGCTCCGCCTGCTGCTCCTCCAGCCACGCGCCCTGCGGGCCCGGGGACAGCTCCAGGCACCCCTTCCGCAGGGCTTGCCCTCCTGCCCTTCCCTTTTAGCCCGGCCCTGCCCTTCCCAGAGGCAAATTCCAGAGGCTGCTTCCAGCCAGGGAGCTGCGGTCCCATGCGGGCATCCAGTGGGCTCGACCTGGCCTGTTCCTTCCAGCCCCCAGCCCTGCTCCCACCCAGCTGGTCCCAAGCCCTTTTCCCAGCCCTGCTCCCATCCTGGCTGGTTCCGAGCCCTTTTCCCAGCCCTGTTCCCACCCAGCTGGTTCTGAGCCCTTTTCCCAGCCCTGCTCCCATCCTGGCTGGTCCCAAGCCCCTTTCCCAGCCCTGCTCCCACCCAGCTGGTTCTGAGCCCTTTTCCCAGCCCTGCTCCCATCCCGGCTGGTTCCGAGCCCCTTTCCCAACCCTGCTCCCATCCTGGCTGGTCCCGAGCCCCTTTCCCAGTCCCACTCCCAACCTGGCTGGTTCCGAGCCTTTTTCCCACTCCCACTCCTGCCCAGATGGTTCCAAGCCCCTTCCAGTTCCCACCCTACTGGTTCTGAGCCCCTTTCCTAGCCCAGTTCCCATCCCAGTTGCTTCTGAGCCCCTCTCCCAGTCCCACTCCCACCCAAGTGGTTCCAAGCCCCTTCCAGTTCCCACCTGGCTGGTTCTGAGCCCTTTCCCCAGTCCTGGCTGGTTCTGAGCCCTTTTCCCAGTCCTGGCTGGTTCTGAGCCCCTTCCCCATCCCAGTCCCCCCCAGCCAGCCCCCAGCCCCATCCCAGTCACTCCGGGTGGGTCCAGGCCCCCACCCCAGCATTCCCCAGCTTCCCCAGGGAAGCCGCAGCCCCTCCCTGCTCCGGGCTCACCTGGGGCTCACCTGGGGCCGTGTCCCTGCTCACCTTGGCCTCGTCCAGCGCCGCCCTCTCCATGGCCAGCAGCTGTGCCGAGAGCCGCCGCTGCTCCTCCAGCGCCTCCCGCAGCGAATCCGCCCGGCAGCGCTCGGCAGCGGCGCGGCGGCGCTCCTGGGGCGGACAGGGATGGGCACAGGGATGGGGACAGGGTGGGGACACGGGGACAGGGATGGGGACAGGGATGGGGACACGGGGACAGGGACAGGGATGGGGACAGGGATGGGGACACGGGGACAGGGACAGGGATGGGGACAGGGGGGGGGCAGTGACAGGGATGGGGACATGGGGACAGTGACAGGGATGGGGACAGGGATGGGGACACAGGGACGGGGACACAGGGACAGGGACAGGGATGGGGACAGGGATGGGGACAGGGGATAGGGGACAGGGACAGGGGTGGGGACACAGGGACAGTAACAGGGATGGAGACAGGGACAGGGATAGGGACAGAGACAGGGGATAGGGACACAGAGATAGCAACAGGGATGAGGACAGGGACAGGAGAATAGGAACAGGGGATAGGGGACAGGGGATAGAGGACAGGGACGGGATAGAGGACAGGGACAGGGTGGGGACAGGCATAGGGTGGGGTCAGGGACAGGGGACACGGGACATGGACATGAATAGCGACAGGGATAGGAGACAGGGACAGAGATGGGGACAGGAGACAGGGACAGGGACAGAAGGACAGGGATAGGGACACGGGACATGGGACAAGGACATGGGACACAGGGACAGGGATGGGGACAGGGACAGGGGGACACAGGACAGGGACATGGACAGGGGACATAGGACACAGGCAGGGACACAGGCAGTGACAGGGACACAGACATGGACATGGGCCACAGGACACAGAGATGGACCCAGGCACAGGACAGGGACACAAGCAGGGACATGGACAGGGACACAGCTCCAGGAGGAGATCCCAGCAGGAAGCTCCTCCAGCCAGGCACAGGCAGGGACACAGACACAGGCAGGGACAGGGACAGGGACACAGCCACAGCCACGGCCACAGCTTCAGGACAGGGCCAAAGCTCTGGGACGGGGCCCCACCTGCTCCAGGAGCTGCTCCCGCTCCCCCAGCCTGGTCTCCAAGTCAGCCACGGCCTCCTGGAGCCGGCTCTGCTCCCGCTCCGCGTCCCGCTGCTGCCGGCACAGCCTGGCCTGGAGCGCTGCGAGGGGCACGGGGAGCCAGGGTGCAGGAGGTGGGATCCCCTCCATCCTCAGGGAGATCCCACAGGGCAAACCCCTGTGTTCCTGCTCCATCCCCTCCCAGGACAGGGAGATCCCACATGGAAACGCCCCGTGCTCGTGCTCCATCCCATCCCATCCCATCCCATCCCATCCAAACCATCCCATCCAAACCATCCCATCCCATCCCATCCCAAGCAGATCCCACTCTGGGATCTGCCCACGGAGGGCAGGACTTTTCCAGCCTCTGGCTCCCAGCCTCTGGCTCGCCAGGGGCAACTTGAATTCTGTGAATTCTGCAAATTCTGTGAATTCAATTAATTCCATGAATTCTGCAAACTCCATGAATTCTGCAAATTCTACACATTCTGTGAATTCCATAAATCCCGTAAATTGTGTGAACTCTGTGAATTCCGAGAATTCTGTGAACTTTTCCATTTCCTGCGGATCTGAAGGGATCCCGGACGGAGCCGAGCCCCTCGAGTCACTCGGACCAGCAGAGCCCCTGGCCAGGAATCCCCCCAGGAGGGCTGGAACAGGGATCTACAGGCCCAGGGATCCTTCTGGACACCAGGATTTGTTCTGGGACCGTCTGGATTCCGTGGGATCGGCTCTGAGCCCTTGGGATGGAGCAGAGGGTCCCACTGGAATGATGCACTCGGAGGGAATTTACCTGTGAGCTGCTCATCCTGCTCCTGGGATCTGCAGTGGTCCTGGGGTCTGGGGTGATCCAGGGATCCCGGGTGATCCTGGGTTCTGGGGTGATCCAGGGATCCAGGGTGATCCTGGGTTCTGGGGTGATCCAGGGATCTGGGGTGATTCTGGGGTCTGGGGTGATCCAGGGATCTGGGGTGATTCTGGGGTCTGAGGTGATCCAGGGATCCGGGGTGATCCAGGGATCCGGGGTGATCCTGGGATCTGGGGTGATCCAGGATGATCTGGGGTGATCCTGTGCTCTGGGGTGATTCTGGGAGGATCTGGGGTGATCCTGTGCCCTGGGGTGATCCAGGGTGATCTGGGGTGATCCAGGATGATCCTGGGGTCTGGGGTGATCCAGGATGATCTGGGGTGATCCTGTGCTCTGGGGTGATTCTGGGAGGATCTGGGGTGATCCCGTGCCCCAGGGTGACCCAGGGAAGGAGCAGGGAACTGGGAGCACAGGTGAGACCCCACTCCTTACCTGTGGCAGCTCTCCGGGAGCTCCTGCAGCCCCGGTCCCCGCCGTGCCCGCTCCAGCTCCAGCGCCCGCACCTGGCGGGGGCGGGACGGGCTCAGGTGCCACCCTGGGCTCCCACGGCCACCTCCGGCTCCCCGTGTGGCCAGGGTCCCACAGGTGACATGCCCAGGTGACACCCCCAGGTGACACCCTCACATGACCGCCACAGGTGACACCCCCAGGTGACACCCCCAGGTGACATCCTCAGGTGACCCCCCCAGGTGACATCCTCAGGTGACACCCCCAGGTGACATCCTCAGGTGACCCCCACAGGTGACACCCCCCAGGTGACCCCCACAGGTGACAACCTCAGGTGACCCCCCCAGGTGACCCCCCCAGGTGACATCCTCAGGTGACACCCCCAGGTGACCCCCACAGGTGATACCCCAGGTGACACCCCCAGGTGACACCCCCAGGCGACCCCCCCAGGTGACACCCCCAGCCCCCACCTGGCTCTCCAGCTCCTCCAGCCGGGCCTGGAGGCTGCGCAGGGCGATCCCACAGCCGGGGTGCTGCTGGCACAGGTGGGATTGGAGAGTTTGGGAATCCTGGTGGGGCCGGGATGGGAGAGATCCCAGATCCTCCTGGTGGGGCCGGGATGGGAGAGATCCCAGATCCTCCTGGTGGGGCCGGGATGGGAGAGATCCCAGATCCTCCTGGTGGGGCCAGGATGGGAGAGATCCCAGATCCTCCTGGTGGGGCCGGGATGGGAGAGCTCCAGGACCCTCCTGGCGCTGTTGGGATGGGAGAGATCCCGGATCCTCCTGGCGCTGTTGGGATGGGAGAGCTCCAGGACCCTCCTGGCACCTCCGGGCCGGGAAAGCTGCGGGATGCTCTGGGCAGAGCCAGGACGGGAGCGCTCGGGGATTCTCCGGGCGGGACGGGGCTGGAGGAGCCGCCGGATCCTCCTGTGGGGACACAGGGATGCTCCAGGAGAGGCCTGGGAAGGGCAGCTCCCCTCTGCTGGGAATGCTGATCCATGCCCAGCCCCCCCAGATCCCAAGGGATCCCCAGGGATCCTCCCTGCTCCTGCCCCAGCACCCACCTGAGCGGGCGTGGCAGGACCCGGCGCCTCCTGCACAGCTGGGGTGGAAAACGGGACAAATCCATCACTGGGACACACGGAAGGAACGGAACCGTCCCATCCCATGGATCCTGTTACCCCATCCCATCCAGACCCATCCTAGGGATCCCATCTCATTATCCCATCCCATGGATCCCATTCCATCCCATCCCATCCCACAGATCCTATCCCATTATCCCATCCCATAGATCCCATCCAATCGTTCCCATCCCATCCCATGGATCCCATTGTCCCATCCCATCCAGCACCATCCCATGGATCCCATCCCATCCCATCCCATCCCATCCGATCTCACTGATCCCATGGATCCCATCCCATTATCCCACTATCCCGTCATCCCATGATCCCATCATCCTGCTATCCCATGATCCCATCATCCCATGATCCCATTATCCTGTTATCCCCACTATTCCATTATCCCATTATCCCGTTATCCCACTATCCCATTATCCTGTTATCCCCACTATTCCATTATCCCATTATCCTGTTATCCCACTATCCCATTATCCTGTTTTATCCCACTATCCCGTTATCTTGTTATCCCACTATTCCATTATCCCATTGTCCTGTTATCCCACTATCCCACTATCCCGTTATCTTGTTATCCCACTATTCCATTATCCCATTGTCCTGTTATCCCACTATCCCACTATCCCATGATCCCATTATCCCCTGGCACAGCTCCCCCAGTTCATGAGGAGGGTCCCCAGGTGTCCCCTGCCCAGGCCAGGTGACCTCCGAGGACACCTGGTGGGGACAGGGGCCTCACCTGCTGCCCCCTGCCCGTAGGGCCGTGTCCCGAGGGGGAGCTCCAGCCTGGGAGGGGAACAAATCCCACGGGAGAGTCAGGGGGGCACGGACCGCCCAGCCCGGCCTGGCCTGTGCCACCTGGGTCACCTGTGCCACCTGGGTCACCCGTGCCACCTGGGTCACCTGTGCCACCTGGGTCACCCGTGCCACCTGGGTCACCTGTGCCACCTGGGTCACCCGTGCCACCTGGGTCACCTGTGCCACCTGTGCTGTGCCACCTGTGCCACCTGGGTCACCTGTGCCACCTGGGTCACCCGTGCTGTGCCACCTGGGTCACCTGTGCTGTGCCACCTGTGTTACCTGTGCCATCTGGGTCACCTGTGCCACCTGGGTCACCTGTGCTGTGCCACCTGGGTCACCTGTGCCACCTGGGTCACCTGTGCTGTGCCACCTGGGTCACCTGTGCCACCTGGGTCACCCGTGCTGTGCCACCTGGGTTACCTGTGCCACCTGGGTCACCTGTGCTGTGCCACCTGGGTCACCTGTGCTGTGCCACCTGTGTTACCTGTGCCATCTGGGTCACCTGTGCCACCTGGGTGACCTGTGCTGTGCCACCTGGGTCACCTGTGCCACCTGGGTCACCTGTGCCACCTGTGCTGTGCCACCTGTGCCACCTGGGTCATCTGTGCCACCTGGGTCATCTGTGTCACCTGTCCCACCTGGGTCACCTGTGCTGTGCCACTTGCATCACTTGTGCCACCTCTATCACCCATATCACCTGAGCCACCTCTGTCATCTGTGCCACTGTCCCACCTGTGTCACCTGTGTCACCCATATCACCTGAGCCATCTACGTCACCTGAGTCACCTGTGCCATCTGTACTATTCCACCTGGGTCACCTGTGTCACCTCTGCCACCCGGGTCACCTGAGCCGTGTCACCTGGGTCACCCGAGTCATCTCTGTCACCTCTGCCATGTCACCTGTGCCACCTGTGCCACCTGTGTCACCCGAGCGGCACACTTGCATCACCTGTGTCACCTGTGTCACCCATATCACCTGAGCCATCTACGTCACCTGAGTCACCTGTGCCATCTGTGCTGTTCCACCTGGGTCACCTGTGCCACCTGTATCACCTGAGTCACCTGTGTCACCTCTGCCACCCGGGTCACCTGAGCCATGTCACCTGGGTCACCCGAGTCATCTCTGTCACCTCTGCCATGTCACCTGTGCCACCTGTCCCACCTGTGTCACCCGAGCGGCGTCACCTGTCCCACCCCACCTGCCCTGTGCCAGGGATGCCACCTTTGGGACTCGGAGGGAACAGTGACACCCCAAACCTCCATCCCAGGGTCCCCTCCCCCCACACTGGTGACCTGAGCCCTCCCAGGTGACACCTGAGTCCTCCTAGGTGACACCTGTGTCCCTCCCAGGTGACACATTGTCCTGGGAACAGGGAGGTGGGAGGAGCTCAGGTGGGGGGAATTCCAGAGTAGGGACATCCCTGGGGACACCGGGAGAGGACACCTGGGACAGGGACATTACCTGGGGACACCTGGGACAGGGACATCACCTGGGGACACCTGGGACAGGGAGATCCCCCAGGGACACCTGGGACAGGGACATCACCTGGCACACCTGGACAGGGACATCCCCTGGGGACACCTAGAGGACACCTGGACAGGGACATCCCCTGGGGACACCTGGACAGGGACATCTCCTGGCACACCTGGAGGACACCTGGACAGGGACATCTGGCACACCTGGAGGGGACCCGAGGACAGTGACATCCTTGGGCACACCTAGAGGACACCTGGGACAAGGACATCACCTGGCACACCTGGGACAGGGACATCACCTGGGGACACCTGGGACAGGGAGATCCCCCAGGGACACCTGGGACAGGGACATCACCTGGGCACACCTGGGACAGGGACATCCCCTGGGGACACCTAGAGGACACCTGGACAGGGACGTCACCTGGGACAGGGACATCCCCGGGCACACCTGGGACAGTGACATCCCCGGGGACACCTGGAGGACACCTGGGACAGGGACATCCCCGGGGACACCAGTGACAGGGACATCACCTGGGCACACCTGTGACAGGGACATCACCTGCGCACACCTGGAGGACATTTTGGGACAGGGACATCACCTGGCACACCTGGGACAGTGACATCCTTGGGCACACCTGGAGGACACCTGGACAGGGACATCTGGCACACCTGGAGGGGACCCGAGGACAGTGACATCCTTGGGCACACCTAGAGGACACCTGGGACAAGGACATCACCTGGCACACCTGGGACAGGGACATCCCTGGGCACACCTGGAGGACACCTGGACAGGGACATCTGGCACACCTGGAGGGGACCCGAGGACAGTGACATCCTTGGGCACATCTGGAGGACACCTGGACAGGGACATCTGGCACACCTGGAGGGGACCCGAGGACAGTGACATCCTTGGGCACATCTGGAGGACACCTGGACAGGGACATCTGGCACACCTGGAGGGGACCCGAGGACAGTGACATCCTTGGGCACATCTGGAGGACACCTGGACAGGGACATCTGGCACACCTGGAGGGGACCCGAGGACAGTGACATCCTTGGGCACATCTGGAGGACACCTGGACAGGGACATCTGGCACACCTGGAGGGGACCCGAGGACAGTGACATCCTTGGGCACATCTGGAGGACACCTGGACAGGGACATCTGGCACACCTGGAGGGGACCCGAGGACAGTGACATCCTTGGGCACATCTGGAGGACACCTGGACAGGGACATCTGGCACACCTGGAGGGGACCCGAGGACAGTGACATCCTTGGGCACATCTGGAGGACACCTGGACAGGGACATCTGGCACACCTGGAGGGGACCCGAGGACAGTGACATCCTTGGGCACATCTGGAGGACCCCTGGACAGTGACATCCTTGGGCACATCTGGAGGACACCTGGACAGTGACATCACCTGGGACAGTGACATCCCTGGGCACACCTGCAGGACACCTGGGACAGTGACATCACCTGGGACAGTGACATCACCTGGGACAGTGACATCCTTGGGCACACCTGTAGGACACCCGGGCCGGGAGCCCCGATCCCGGAGATCTCCTGGATGCCAGGTGGGAGCTCCCGGGGGTTCCCGGGGGTTCCCTTTACCTGCCGGGCTCGGGGGGCCCCGGGCCCCTCCGGGGGTGGGAATTTGGCTCCGGAGGCTCCGCCCGGGCTGGCTCCGGGGCCAGGGCAGCGCCAGGGCAGCGCCGGTGCCGCAGCGGGGATCCCGGGACACCGGGGCCCGGGGGATCCTCGTCCTTCCATCCCAATCCAAGGAAATCCTTGTCCTTCTGTCCCAGCCCTGGGAAATCCTTGTCCTGTCCTGATCCCGGGGGACCCTCGGCCTTCTGTCCCAATCCTGGGGGATCCTTTTCCTTCGATCCCAATCCTATGAAATCCTTGTTCTTCTGTCCTAATCCCGAGAAATCCTTGTCCTTCGATCCCAACTCCAGGAAATCCTTGTCCTTTTGTCTCAATCCCAGGGGATCCTTGTCCTTCTGTCCCAATCCTGGGAAATCCTTCTCCTTTGATCCAAATCCCAGGAAATCCTTGTTCTTCTGTCCTAAACCCAGGAAATCCTTCTCCTTTGATCCCAATCCCAGGAAATCCTTGTCCTTCGATCCCAATCCTGTGGGATCCTTGTTCTTCTGTCCCAATCCCGGGAAATCCTTGTCCTTTGATCCCAGCTCCAGGAAATCCTTGTCCTTCTGTCCCAGCTCCAGGAAATCCTTGTCCTTTGATCCCAGCTCCAGGAAATCCTTGTCCTTTGATCCCAGCTCCAGGAAATCCTTGTCCTTCGATCCCAGCTCCAGGAAATCCTTGTCCTTCTGTCCCAATCCCGGGAAATCCTCGTCCCCCAGTCCCAGGAAATCCTCGTCCTTCAGCCCCAGCCAGGCGGCCCCGGAGGGACGTCGGGAGCTGCTCCCAACCGGACACCTGGGGGGGGAGAGGGACACTGGGGACACTGAGCAAAACAGGGACAATGGGGACAATGGGGACATTGGGGGCAATGGGAACAATGGGGGCACTGGGGACACTGGGGACACTGAGCAAAACAGGGACAATGGGGACAACGAGGACACTGGAGACAATAGGAGACAATGAGGGACATTGGGGACAATGAGCACACCAGGGGCATTAGGGACACTGGGGAAAATTGGGGACATTGGGGGCAATGGGAACAATGGGAACAATGGGGGCACTGGGGACATTGGGGATACTGGAGACAATAGGGGACAATGGGGGACACTGGGGACAATGAGCAAAACAGGGACACTGGGGACAATGGGGACATTGGGAACAATGGCGGCATTGGGGACACTGGGGACTGGGCAGGTGACAATGGGGACAATGGGGACATTGAGGACAAGAGGAGGCATTGGGGACACTGGGGACTGGGCAGGGGACAATGGGGACATTGGGAACAATGGGGGCATTGGGGACAATGGGGACTGGGCAGGGGACAATGGGGACAAAGGGGACAATGGGGGCATTGGGGCCACTGAGGACTGGGCAGGTGACATTGGGGACACTGAGGACAAGAGGGACAGTGGGGACTGGGCAGGGGACAATGGGGACAATGGGACATTGAGGACAAGAGGAGGCATTGGGGACAATGGGGACTGGGCAGGGGACACTGGGGACAATGGGGACAGTGGGACACTGGGGACACGGCTGGGTGGGGACATCCCCCTCCCCTCCCCCCGCCCGGTACCTCCGTCTCCGCCCGGTCCCCGAGGCCACCGAGGGCTCGTAGGATCCGAAGGGAAATCCCGGCTCCACCTGGGCCCCGCCCGGCCCTGCGGAACAACAGCACCCCAGATTCCCAAAACTCCCCAAATTCTCAAAACTCCCGAAACTTCCTGTGGGATTGGGATTGGAAAACGCCTGTGCTGCTCCTGCCTGGAATTCCCAATGGGATTGGGATTGGAAAACACCTGTGCTGCTCCTCCCTGGAATTCCCAATGGGATTGGGATTGGAAAACACCTGTGCTGCTCCTGCCTGGAATTCCCAGTGGGATTGGAAAACACCTGTGCTGCTCCTCCTCGGAATTCCCAGTGGGATTGGGATTGGAAAGCAGCTTGTGCTGCTCCTCCCTGAAATTCCCAGTGGGATTTGGACCCTCTGGAAAACACCTGTGCTGCTCCTGCCTGGAATTCCCAATGGGATTGGAAAACGCCTGTGCTGCTCCTGCCTGGAATTCCCAGCGGGATCTGGAGCCTCTGGAACCCCCCCCGTGGATCTCCCAATGGGATTGGGATGGGAAAACACCTGTGCTGCCCCTGCCTGGAATTCCCAATGGGATTGGAAAACGCCTGTGCTGCTCCTGCCTGGAATTCCCAGCGGGATCTGGAGCCTCTGGAACCCCCCCCGTGGATCTCCCAATGGGATTGGGATGGGAAAACACCTGTGCTGCCCCTGCCTGGAATTCCCAATGGGATTGGAAAACGCCTGTGCTGCTCCTGCCTGGAATTCCCAGCGGGATCTGGAGCCTCTGGAACCCCTCCCGTGGATCCCCCAATGGGATTGGGATGGGAAAACACCTGTGCTGCTCCTGCCTGGAATTCCCACGTACATCTGAAGCCGCGGGAACCCCTCCCGTGGAACCCCCAATGGGATTGGGATTGGAAAACACATGTGCTGCTCCTGCCTGGAATTCCCAATGGGATTGGGATGGGAAAACACCTGTGCTGCTCCTGCCTGGAATTCCCAATGGGATTGACCCCTGGCAAACACCTGTGCTGCTCCTGCCTGGAATTCCCAGCGGGATCTGGAGCCTCTGGAACCCCTCCCGTGGATCCCCCAATGGGATTGGGATGGGAAAACACCTGTGCTGCTCCTGCCTGGAATTCCCAATGGGATTGACCCCTGGCAAACACCTGTGCTGCTCCTGCCTGGAATTCCCAATGGGATTTGGACCCTCTGGAAAACACCTGTGCTGCTCCTGCCTGGGAATTCCCAGTGGGACGAAACCTCTGGAAAACACCTGTGCTGCTCCTCCTGGGAATTCCCAGTGGGATTGGGATTGGAAAGCACCTGTGCTGCTCCTGCCTGGAATTCCCAGCGGGATCTGAAGCCTCTGGAACCCCCCCCGTGGATCCCCCACCCCGGCCGTGCTCACCTGGCTGCTCCCGCTCCTTGGGGTCTGGCTGGAATTCCGCCTTTCCCGGCTGCTCCTGGCTCCCGGCGCGGCCCTTCCGGAGCCCCTGGCTGGGCACAGTGGGGGTGGCACTGGGGTGGCACCGGGGTGGCACCGGGACCCCCCCGTTCCCGTCCCCATCCCGGTGTCCCCTCACCCCCCCGGCGTTCCCGGCGCGCTCCCGGCTCCGTCGGCGCCGCTGCCGAGTCCCAGGGAGTCCATCAGGTCATCGACGTCGTCCCCAAAGGTGACATCGGGACGGGGGGGCGGGGCTGGGGGGATGGCACTGATGGCATCTGGGATGTCCCTGGGTGCCACCAGCTCTGGGACATCCATGGATGCCACCAGCACTGGCACATCTCAGGGATGTCTCTGGGTGTCACCAATTGGCTCTGGAACACCCCTGGGTGTCACTGACATTGGGACATCCCTGGGTGTCACCAGCTCTGGAACATCTCAGGGACATCCCTGGATTTCACTGACATTGGGACATCCCTGGGCGTCACCAATTGGCTCTGGGACACCCCTGGGTGTCACCGACACTGGAACACCTCAGGGACGTCTCTGGGTCACCAACACTGGGACATCTCCAGGTGTCACAAACACTGGGACATCTCAGGGACATCTCCAATTGGCTCTGGGACATCTCCAGGTGTCACCGACATTGGGACACCCCTGGGTGTCACCAGCACTGGCACATCTCAGGGACATCTCCAGGTGTCACCAACACTGGGACATCTCAGGGACATCCCTGGGTGTCACCAATTGGCTCTGGGACATCTCCAGGTGTCACCGACATTGGGACACCCCTGGGTGTCACCAGCACTGGCACATCTCAGGGACATCTCCAGGTGTCACTGGCTTGGGGACATTCGCAGGTGTCACCAACTCTGAGACACCTCTGAAAGTCACCGGTGCTGGGACATCTCCGGGTGTCCCCAGATCTGGGAATCTCTGTGTCCCCTCCGTGTCCCCTCCCTATCACCCTGTGTTCCCCATCCCAAGGAATGGGGATGGATCCCATGGAATGAGGTTTGATCCCACGGAATGGGGTTTGATCCCACAGCAATGGGGTGGATCCCATGGAATGGGGTTGATCCCACAGGATTGGGGTTGATCCCACAGCAATGGGGATGGATCCCAAGGAATGGGGTTGATCCCATGGAATGAGGTTGATCCCATGGAATGAGGTTGATCATACAGCAATGGGGTTGATCCCATGGAAAGGGGTTTGATCCCACAGCAATGGGGTTTGATCCCACCGCAATGGGGTGGATCCCATGGAATGGGGATGGATCCCATGGAATGAGGTTTGATCCCACGGAATGGGGTTTGATCCCACCGCAATGGGGTGGATCCCATGGAATGGGGATGGATCCCATGGAATGAGGTTTGATCCCACGGAATGGGGTTTGATCCCACCGCAATGGGGTGGATCCCATGGAATGGGGATGGATCCCATGGAATGAGGTTTGATCCCACGGAATGGGGTTTGATCCCACCGCAATGGGGTGGATCCCATGGAATGGGGATGGATCCCATGGAATGAGGTTTGATCCCACGGAATGGGGTTTGATCCCACCGCAATGGGGTGGATCCCATGGAATGGGGATGGATCCCAAGGAATGGGGGTTGATCCCACAGCAACGAGGTTTGATCCCACGGAATGAGGTTGATCCCACAGCAATGGGGTTTGATCCCAAGGAATGGGTTTGATCCCACAGGATTGGGGTTGATCCCATGAAATGGGGTTGATCCCATAGAAAGTGGTTTGATCCCACAGCAATGGGGGTTGATCCCATGGAATGGGGATGGATCCCAAGGAATGGGGTTGATCCCATGGAATGAGGTTGATCCCACAGCAATGGGGTTGATCCCATGGAAAGGGGTTTGATCCCACAGGAATGGGGTTGATCCCACAGCAATGGGGATGGATCCCAAGGAATGGAGTTGATCCCATGGAATGAGGTTGACCCCACAGCAATGGGGTTGATCCCACAGCAGTGGGAGTTGATCCCACAGGAATTCCCGGTACCTTTTTGGGGACCCGGCCCCTTCCCGCCGTGGTTCCCAGGCCTGGACCCGGCTCTGGCCATTCCCAGGATTTCTGCATCCAGCTCGTCCAGCTCGTCCAGCTGATCCGTTGGGTCATGGTGATCCATGGGATCAACTGGATCCTGGTGATCCATGGGATCTGGTGATCCATGGGATCCAGCTCCGGGGTGGGGGGAGCAGCTCCTGCCCTCACCTGCAGCCCAGGAGGGATCCCAAATCCCTTGGGAATTCTGCCCTGCTCACCTTCGCCCCTTCCGTGTTCCCCGCTGGGAATTTCCCACTCTTTGGGAATTCCCCATTCCCCTTTCACTGGGAATTTCCCCACTTCCCTTTGGGAATTTCCCTTCCCCCACTGGGAATTTCCCATTCTTTGGGAATTTCCCCTTTCCCTTTGGGAATTTCCCTTCCCCCACTGGGAATTTCCCATTCTTTGGGAATTTCCTGTTCTTTGGGAATTTCCCTTCCTCCACTGGGAATTTCCCATTCTTTGGGAATTTCCCCTTTCCCTTTGGGAATTTCCCTTCCCCCACTGGGAATTTCCCACTCCCTGTTGGGAACTTCCCATTCCCCATTGGGACTTCTTAGGTTTACATTGGGAATTTCCCGTTTCCCATTGAGAATTTCCCATGTTTTGGGAATTTCCTCTTCCCTGTTTTTTGGAATTCCCCATTTTTTGGGAATTTCCCATTTTTGGGAATTTCCCATTTTCTGTTGGGAATTTCCTGGTTTTGGGGTTTTCTCATTCTTTGGGAATTTCCCGTTCCCCACTGTCCATTTTCGGGTTTTGGGAATTTCCTGGTTGTTGGAAATTTCCTGTTCTTTGGGAATTTCCACTTCTCCACTGGGAACTTCCCATTCCCCATTGGGAATTTCCTGGTCTTTGGAATTTCCCTTTTTTTTTGGAATTTCCTGTTCCTTGGGAATATCCCACTCTCCATCGGGAATTTCCCAGTTTTGGGAATTTCCCGTTTCTTGGGATTTCTCCCTCTCGACCCTGATCCCGGACACAGCCCAGGTGAGGGGGTGGGGCGGGGCCCCAGGTGCTCCCAGGTGAGCACACCTGGAGAACGAGGCTCAGCCCGGCCTGGGTGGGGGAGGGGCTCACCTGGGCCCACCTGAGCTCTCCACTTCTCTACTGGGAACTTCCCATTCCCCGTTGGGAATTTCCTGGTCTTTGGAATTTCCCTTTTTTTTTGGAATTTCCTGTTCCTTGGGAATATCCCACTCTCCATCGGGAATTTCCCGGTTTTGGGAATTTCCCGTTTCTTGGGATTTCTCCCCCTCGACCCTGATCCCGGGCACAGCCCAGGTGAGGGGGTGGGGCGGGGCCCCAGGTGCTCCCAGGTGAGCACACCTGGAGAACGAGGCTCAGCCCGGCCTGGGTGGGGGAGGGGCTCACCGGGGCCCACCTGAGCTCACCTGGGCCCACCTGGGGTCACCTGAGCTCACCTGAGCCCACCTGAGCTCACCTGGGCTCACCTGGGGTCACCTGAGCCCACCTGAGCTCACCTGGGCTCACCTGCAGGAAGGGGGCGTGGGAACCTCGGGAGGGCGGAGCCGGGGCCTCCTCTGGAAACAAGGGAGGGGTCAGGGATGGACACGGAGACAGGTGGGAATGGGGAGGGCAGGACATCCCCCCAGGTGAGCCCAGGTGAGCCCAGGGCATCCCCCCAGGTGAGCCCAGGGCATCCCCCCAGGTGAGCCCCAGGTGAGCCCAGGGCATCCCCCCAGGTGAGCCCAGGTGAGCCCCAGGTGAGCCCAGGCCATCCCCCCAGGTGAGCCCAGGGCATCCCCCCAGGTGAGCCCCAGGTGATCCTGGGGAAGGGGTTTCCCTCTAGGTGACCCCAGCTGTTCCCAGGTGATCCCCTCCCCAGTCACCAAGGTGACCCCAGGTGACCCCCCCCAGGTGATCCCCTCCAGGTGACCCCCCCAGGAGTTCCCAGGTGACCACCCAGGTGACCCCCCCAGGTGACCCCCTTGGGAGCTCCCACTTTACCATCGGATCCCAGGAGCTCCCCGAGCACGTCCCCGATGGGATCTGGAACAGGAGAGAGCCCAGGTGAGCCCAGGTGGGTTCCACACACCAGGCAGGTGGGAAAAGCTCCTGGAACACCTCACCTGTGTCCTAGAACACCTCACCTGTCTCTAGAACACCTCACCTGTGTTGGAACATCTCACCTGTCTCTGGGACATCTCACCTGTGTCTAGAACACCTCACCTGTGTCCCAGAACATCTCACCTGTGTCCTAGAACACCTCACCTGTGTCTAGAACATCTCACCTGTCTCTTAGAACACCTCCCCTGTCTCTGGAACATCCCACCTGTCTCTGGGACACCTCACCTGTGTCTAGAACATCTCACCTGTCTCTTAGAACACCTCCCCTGTCTCTGGAACATCCCACCTGTCTCTGGGACACCTCACCTGTGTCTAGAACATCTCACCTGTCTCTTAGAACACCTCACCTGTCTCTGGAACATCCCACCTGTCTCTGGGACACCTCACCTGTGTCCCAGAACACCTCACCTGTGTCTAGAACATCTCACCTGTCTCTTAGAACACCTCACCTGTCTCTGGAACATCCCACCTGTCTCTGGGACACCTCACCTGTGTCCCAGAACATCTCACCTGTCTCTTAGAACACCTCACCTGTCTCTTAGAACACCTCACCTGTCTCTTAGAACACCTCACCTGTCTCTTAGAACACCTCACCTGTCTCTTAGAACACCTCACCTGTCTCTTAGGACACCTCACCTGTCTCTGGGACACCTCACCTGTGTCCCAGAACACCTCACCTGTCTCTGGGACACCTCACCTGTCCCCTGGGACATTCCCACCCCGCTCCATCCCAGCATTCCCAGGGACCCAAATCCCCTGGAGAGCAGGTGGGGACAGGTGAGGGGGATGAGGACAGGTGAGGACAGGTGGGAGCGCTCACCTGGCGAGCTGCTCCGGGCCCCGGCAGCCTGCGGGAAGACAAAATTCCCTTGGGAGAAACGGAAGCACCGAAATCTCCCCACACGGCAGAGGTGAGACAGGAGGGGTTCCCACCTGGACCCTCTCACCTGGATCCCCTCGCCGGTCTCCCCTCACTCACCCTGGCCCGTCCCGGCCTGTCCGCCATTCCCGGGCGGTCCCAGCTCCGCCGCCCGCTACCGGCTCCGGCCCCCGCGCTCAGCGCCGCCCCGGCCGCGGCCCTGAGGGGAGAGGGAGGCGCCGCTCGGGTCCCGGTCCCGTTCCGAGTCCCGCTCCCGGTCCCGTTCCCTCTCCCGTTCCCGCCCGGGGCTCCGCCGCCTCCCTCACCCGCTCCCGCGCTCGCCATGGGCGCCGCCATATTGCGCGCCGTCCTCATGGAAGGCCCCCGCTGCCATAGCAACGGGGCTGCCCCGCTCGGCGCCTGATTGGAAAGCCGCCGTTACCATAACAACGAGGCTACCCGCGCGCCGCCCCAAGGAAGGCCCCCCCGCTGCCATGGTGACGGGGCTGCCCCGAGCAGCGCCTGACCCGAGCCTCTGTCGCGATTCTCCTCCTATCGCCGGCGATTCCCCGGTATCGCGGGTTTATCCTGTCGGGAACTCTACGTTCCTCCCCAGCCGGGATCCAGGCTCGGGTACTCCCGCAGGAAACATCGCGATATCGCGACACAACCCCCGGATATCGCCAGAAAATCCCAAAAATCGCCCGGAGGCCCAAAAATCGCTTTTATTGATCAACAAACGGGGCCAGGCCGGAAATGGGGGAGGGGACTGGGCCGTACTGGGATATACTGGGAGCACTGGGCTGGACTGGGTTGGACCGGTCCGGACTGGGTTGGACTGGGCGCACTGGGACTGCTGGACTGGGTTGGACCGGTCTGGACTGGTTTGGACTGGGTTGGACTGGTCCGGACTGGGAGCACTGGGACTGCTGGACTGGTCTGGACTGGGTTGGACCGGTCCGGACCGGTTTGGACTGGGAGCACTGGGACTGCTGGACTGGTCTGGACTGGGTTGGACCGGTCCGGACCGGTTTGGACCGGTCTGGACTGGTCCGGACTGGTGGGGCCCTACTGGTAGTAGAGCTCCAGGTTCATCCCGTCGTGGATCTCATCTGGAGGCGCCGTCAAGGAAAACAAATTTGGGGTTTTGGGGTTGAAGGACTTTGGGGAGAGTTTCTGGGTTTTTGGGGTTCTGGGGTTTTTGGGGTTCTGGGAGTGCTTGAGGTTATGGGGGTGTTTGGGTTTTTGGGGGGATTTTGGGGTTCTGGGGATTTTGGGGTTGGATTTTGGGGTTCTGCAGTTTTTGGGGTCGGGTTTTTGGGGTCGGGTTTTGGGGTTCTGGGGGTTTTTGGGGTCCCCCAAAGCCCTCAGATGCTGCCTTAGAACCCCCCAAACCCCCCATGTGCCCCCCAGAGCCCCGGGGCGCCCCCCAGGTGCCCCCAGACCATTTTTTGAGCACGATCTTGTCCCAGCGGGTGCCGGTCTGCGCCGCTATCAGCTTCTTCAGGTCCCGGATCGAGTCCTCGGGGCTGCGCCGCCGTCAAGGAAACGGGGACACAAACACAGCCCAAAACACCCCAAAACTGCCCCAAAAACACCTGCCCTAAAACTGCCCCAAAAACACCCCAAAACTAGCCCAGACACACCCCAAAACTGCCCCAAAACCGGCTCAAAACAACCCAAAACCTGCCCTAAAACTGCCCCAAAAACACCCCAAAACTGCCCCAAAACAACCCCAAAATACCCCAAAACCAGCCTAAAACCAGCCCAAAACCTGCCCCAAAACCAGCCCAAAAACACACCCCAAAATCCTCCAAAACCGCCTCAAGACAACCCCAAAAGCACCCCAAAACCAATCCCCAAATCTTCCCCCAAACCCTTCCCAAAACCTGCCCCAAGCACCCCAAACACCCCAAAACCTCACAAACACCTCCCTGAGACCTCCTCAAAACCCCAAAATCTCCCCAAACCCTCAAATCCTTCCTAAAACACCCCCAAAACACCCCAAAATATCCCCAAAACACCCCCAAATATCCCCAAAAGACTCCAAAAGCTCCCTTAAAACCTCCCTAAAGCTCCCCAAAACCCCAAAATCTCCCCAAAACCTCTCTCAATACCCCAACCCCCCCAAAACTTCTCAAAACTCCCCCCAATCTTCAAATCCCCCCAAAACCCTGCCCAAAGCCTCCCCCAAACCTCCAATCCCCCACAGAACACCCAAAAACTTCCCCAAATCCCCCCTAAACCTCCCCCAAATC